TGGGCAGAGCATCAAAGGTGTTGCAGCTGGTGTGGCCCACAGATGGCCAGGGTGAGAGGGGAGCATGAGAGAGGGTGTGGGACAGTGGCCCAACCACAGGGGCCTAGAGGGCCAGGCAGAGCGCCTTGAGCTCTGTTCCAAGGACAGAGAAGTTGTAAGGCCAAGGAGATGGACCTGACTGTCCTGTTTGTTGTAGGCAGTGGGGATGATAATGGAGAAACGGAAGTGGTCAGCCACTTACCTTTGTCTCACCCCACTGGCCTAGCCCTTCTCCCATCCTGGACCCTCCACCTGCCCCAGCAGCAGGGCAGAGGGAGATTGAGCAGTATGTTGGGGAGCTTGAGGGTGCAGAGAAAGACTATCTCCTCAAGGAGAGACGGTTCTCAGCCTGCTGGGCCTCCAGAAGTGAGGGATGGAGTGGCCAGGCAGCTGCCCTGCAGAGCTGAGTGGAGACTTCAGTGTGGACGCTGGAATCCTCTGGGGACTCTGCTGTAGTCCCTGAGTGGAATCAGATGACCCCTCTTGCCCCCCAGAACTGCCTGGGCACCCTGTTAGAGCACTCTGAAAACCAGAGCCCTCCCGGAGGGCAGGCAGTGGGGTCCAAGGAAGGCCCGTGATGGCATCCTGCCCTCACCCCCTAACACTGAAGGCCCCAGCCTGCCTTTTCAACTGCAGAGATATGGCCTATAGGGATTTGTAGGGTTCTGGAGAAGGGCTAGGAAAAGGCCAGAGGTGGGGAGGACCTGCACAGGTGGTGCCTGGGCATGGCCAAGGCCCTGGAGGAATATACCCAGAAGGGAGCACAGGGGTCCTGGAGCTTCATTTTCAAGGCCAGAGAGGAGCAACAGGTTCCCCTGGGTCACCTTGTGAGCACTAAGGGTGGACATGTTCCAGGCTTCCAGCCCAGGGTTCCTTAACTCATCAGGTTGCCAACCTCCAGCCTGTGGGCAGCAGCGTCACCAGTGGTATGGCCCCAGGCTGGGTGCTGCCTCTCTAGCCTTGGTTTCGCCTGCACTTTTTTCCTTCCTGTGAGGCCTCTTGATGCTCCAGACCTCAGTCTCCACCTCTGTCAAAGGGACAGAGAATGTCCGCTTTGAAAGTCTCCCTTATCACCATGGTAGCTGGGTGGAGGCTGCTGGCAGGAACCCCCAGTTGTGGTGGGAGGGCAAGGTGGGTACAGAGCAGCCCCTTTGTGATAGATACATCAGTGTCTGTGGGGGGAGAGGGCTGGCCTTCTCCAGCTCAGAGCAGTGAGAGGTGAGGGGGGGGAGGAGTGCAGAAGAGAGGCCAGGCTGCTGGAGGGGTTGCCTCAGGTCTCTTACCTTCCAGGTGTACACAGTGTGCATCTGATCGTGTGTCCCGTGGGAATGTCTGCACATGTGCATGAGTGGAGGTGTCGGTGTGTGTCACATTGGTGCCCACAGGCACGAGTGTATGTGTGCCCACCCGCTGGAAAAAAATACTTAAGTGAGAATGAACTCTGTGGTCTGTGTTGGATACCCAGTGTGGCGGGCAGCACGCCTACTACTCACACGTCTCTGAGTGTCCATGTAGGCAAAATGCGTGTGCAGAGTGGCCAAGGGCATGGCGGCAGCCAGCCAGTCAAGATCTGCTCCCCGCCCTCACCTTTCAGGTCCCGAGGCGTCCTGAGTAGAGGCGCCATGGCCCCGCAGTCAAGGGCTTTCATGCCTGCAATAAGCCCCACTTCACTCCCTTTTTAAACTGTATAATTTCTGCCTGATTGTAATGGCATATTTTAAAATTACCAGAAATCAAAGCCGGGACGTGGATACTGCAGCTTTTATTGCGTCGCTGCTGCGTTAAGGCTGGTGATTGGGGGAGGGGGCGAGAAGCACCCGCCTCCCCCCACATCCATTCCCCGCTTTCTCTCTCTCTCTTTTTTTTTTTTTTTTTTTTTTGAGACAGTAATAGGAGAAAATTGGTTTTGAAACTGAATAAAAGTCCCTTTCAGAGGAAATCATTTCTTTCAGGGCACCTTTGCTGAAAGTAAAATAGATTATAATGAAAGGTGGTTACGTGATTGTCTTTCATTTACCGCAAGGCCAGGACAGACGGGAGGCTGCCATGGGCTCGGGAAATACAAGATTGGAATAATTGCGCCGTAACAAGGAGCTTGTTGTGAAATTAGTATCTTAAGAAAGTAGTGAAAAAAGGCTTTTCCTCATGAATACTTCATTATTAGAAGAAAGCGGCAGAATTTGGGGCTCCAGACACCTGTTTAGTATTAAATAACCCCCCTTTCTTCCTCTTTAACACCCCCCACCCTCGCTTCTTTCTTCTCCTTTTGAAACCAGTGTGAGGACTGAGTTGACCCAGCTCTTTGCAGTACCCAGGATCCGGGGTGGGGGATGGACCAGGAAGGGTGGGGAGGGCCCCAGGATGTTCAGAACCGCTCTTGCACCTAGGCCCGCCTTCTCTGTACCGCACAGAAAGGAAGGCAGGCAGGCCTGAGTAGGGAGACTCTGGGCCTCTCACCATAGTCTCCCAAGACCTCATCCCCTGTGACTGTCTGGCTCAGGGGCTGTGGGCTCCCCAGAATGCTCCTTAGCCCCTCACAGTGTCCTCCACAGCAAAGAGGGTTTTGTGAAGCTGGAACGTGCATTTACACATGAGTGTCAGGTAATCCGAGTGAGGGTGAGGTGAGTGGTGGACCTGTTGGAGCCACGTCTGAGCTGCCACCTAAGCGGGGACAGCCTCTGCCCAGCCTGGCTGGCGAAGCTACCGTGGTTGGCCCCATCTTCCTTGTTTGGGTGGGGAGCTCGGTCAGGTAGCAACAGAGGTCCCGGGTCATTCCAGGGCAGCCTTGGTAGCATGTGGGAATGGGGCTGAAGGCTCAGTCTTTTTTTTTTTAATTTTTATTGTGATTTGGGTGAAAGTTTACAGAGCAAAATTATTTTCCATACAGCAGTTCCTACATATTTTGTTTCATGATACTGACTTCAATTCCCTACAGTGTAACAGCTCTCTTCCCACTTCTCCCCAGTTACCTCTTCCCTGTGTCCCTCCCTCCCATGTACTCTCCAGCCCCCAGCTACCTCCCTGTGTAAACACTGCCCACAATTGATCACTCCAAGGAGTGTATCTACCTGATATAAATGTTCACCCCATATGCCTTTGTTTGGCTGGAAGCCACAGGAGTGAGTTCAGTTCCAGATCTGAAGGGCAGCTAGGGGCCATAGTCTCAGGGGTCTCTCCAGGGTCTATCAGACCAGCAAATCTGGTCTTGTTTTATGTTTTTGAGTTTTGTTCCATATTGTTCTCCTACTCTATCTAGAATCTCCTGCACCCATCCCCCTCCACGAGGTTGACAGTGGTAGCTAGGCACCATCCAGTTCTCCTGGTCTCATGGTCTCACGGTCATGTAGGCTGAGGATCACATGGTCCACTAGTCCCTCGGACTAATTGTTCCCATGCGTTTTCTTCATTCTTCTTTGCTCTGGACAAGGAGAGACTCATCGTTGCATCTAAATGGCTGCTTGCAAGCTTTTTTTTTTTTAA